GGGCACAGTGTTGCCGCCGAGCAAGCTCATATTACGGAGAGGGCCGAGCACAGGACTGCTGCTGGGAGTCCAGTGAGAGTGGCTGTGGGATGAGTGAGGAGCGACTGCAGGAGCTGCGAGGGCAAGACGCGGAGGCTTGCCATCATCATGCAAGGAAGTGGTATGCTCGGATTCGGAAGCATAATCGTCAGCGTGCAAATGGTCGTCGGGCGAAAAACGAGGCGAGTGTTCGACGCTGCTAGGAACACTCGAGGAAGTGGAAGCCCAGCCTCCGGCGCCGTGATGCGAACCGTGTTGGTAGTAGCGATAGAGGCTCGGAGGCGGGTGGCTGCCATTGTAAGCGGCGTGCGAAGGGCGCGAAGAGTAGCCGCACTCGGCTGCGTATCGGTTGGACGTAGGTCGTGCGAGAATGGCGGAAGCGATTCGATCGTTGTATTTGCGGTGGCAGTCCTCGTGCGAGCAGCCTGGAGGCGTCGTTTCCGTGTAAGCAGCGGCAGGGGGAGGATACGGGTAGCTGCTAGATGCGTGAGGCTGGTTACGTTCTCCGTAGGGATCGGAGGGGTGGTGCGTGTGGTAGGCGTGGGAGGGACCAGAGCGACGACCTTCCCGCTCGGCGCGCTGGAGCTCGTGAAGCTCGTCGCTGGCAAGCATGGCCAGAGTCGACATTTCACCGTTTCGAGCAGTTCGAGCGGCGTGTCGGAGGTCACGATCCGAATCGCTATCATCGCCTTCTTCGTCACCAAGCTGCCATCGGAGGGTTCTGTTGTTGACGTGGCCGGATTTGGTGGAAGCAGAAGCGATGGCAGGAGCGGAGGCATGAGCAGAGGAGTTTCCGTTCGACTTGCGAGCCGAAGCCTTCTTGTCTTCGGCGTGTGCACCGCCCTTCTTTGGGTTGGCGTGAATGCGGACATGACGAGTAAGCTCATCGCTCCTGCTGAAGCGCTTTTCGCATCCTGGATACGTGCAGACGTGGGGCTTTTCACCCGTGTGGGTACGAATGTGTCGTGTTTGATGTTCGAGACGATAAAAGGCACGCGAGCAGAGGGGGCATTTGTACGGCCTCGGGATCTGAGATTTGTCGACCGTGTAATTGCTGGCTGTAAGTGCGGCCGAATCGCCTGTGGAATTAGCCATGTTGGTGGCTGAAGATTGAGCCATTGTTGAGAGCGCTGATTTGAACGATGCCGGAGCGCTGAAAGACGGCAAAAGATGTGAGAAGGAGAAACTCTTTACCTGGGCGAAGTGATGATCGAATGCAGCAGTGCAGTGTAGACCGCTAATTGCTGATCACGACTGAGAACGAGTAGTTATTGTCCGTTCAAGGCTAGTAAGCAATGTGTCGAGCGATGTCGGAGATTACGGTCAAAAGTTGATGTTGTACACTGTTGGCAAACGGTAATGAATGGTGATGAATGGTGATGAATGGTGATGAATGGTGATGAACAGTGATGAACAGTGATGATAGGTGCAAAGAAGAGTCGACTGAATGTGGAGATAGGGACGGAGAAGATGTCAGGGAGGGTTGATGAGAGTGATAGTGATAGTAACAGAGATAGTGATGAAGATGGAGATGGAGAGCGGGGTAAGATTGGGAAGCGAGTCGGACGGGGATGGAATGGTTGAGATTTGCGGTTGCGGTTGCGGTTGCAGATTGCGTGCGGTTGAGAGTATGTGATGAGGGGGAGCAGAAAATGTGAAATGTGGATTCGGTCCGCGATTTGCGGAAGGGATGGATGCGGGCGACCAAAAAAAAAACAAAAGAGGCTGAGTGGACTAAGCATCCAAGGCTGGATCCGGGTCGTCGGTTTAGGAAAGTGAGGAGAAGAGCTAAACCGAGGAGAAGAGGCGAGCAGGATAAGGAGGAAAATTATCGATAAGAATGAGAACTGCGGTCTAGAGCAATTGTGCCTTACACGTATTTCGGAAAACAAAACGAAGAAAGAGAAAATGAACCAAATTGCCAAGCCGGGGGGGGGAGAAGGCGAAAAGGCGAGGTGAAGATGGGAAAGAGGGGAAAAGCGGGCGCGAGATGAGCCAGTTACGCCATTTACTATGAGTGGGCGCGATGTGATAGCTGAGCAAAACTTGCTTGCTATCACATTCACCATTGTTTTTCATTCATATTTTCTTCCGACCGCCCTCCGGCTCCACTTACGCTCTGTCCCCGCTCACCCCCACTCTCTTCCTCTCTCTCTCTCTTTCTCTCTCTCTCTCTCTCTTTCTCTCTCTCTCTCTCTCTCAGAGTCCGCAACGTAGTCAGCTTGAAAGAAAGAGAAGAGGTACAAGCAAATACATATATGTGTCCACGATAAGCAAAGACAATATGAGGGCCAAACTGTAAGGGAACGATTCGTGAGCTTCGGGCTGTGGCAGGATGCGGTCCGCACTCGCTAGCATGAACAAGGGCCAATCTCAGGCGTGCAAATGGGCAGTGTGACCCCTGGCCAATCTGGTTGCGTGTGGGGTATCGGCGGACGGCAAGATTTCGGTTTAACGTGGTTCCAAGCTAATTACTGGTCATGCGCACCAAGCCAAAAGAGACCGACAAAGTGGGGCTGAACAATTTTTCGCATTCCGCTCGAAACATTCTTGTTCTTTCTTTTGTAATTGTTTTTTCTTGAAAATTTCCATGGAGGAGGTGAAAGGAGTCGCGGGTCGCGGGGAAAGCAACACAGCCGAGCAACAAAAAGGCAGGAGAAGCGAGACGGTGACACGCTAAAACAAAGTTTCGCCTTTTCTTTCCGTTTTGTCGCGATTCGTCACCACGCTCCCTCAAAAGTTTGCAAGTCTCACGACCGAACAATCGCGGGCCAATAGCAGCCACACGTTCCACTGACGCGCTTCACTCACTTGCTCTCTACTCCAAACTGTACAGTAATTGACCGCTTTTTCGAAATCTTGACCCTTTTTTTCCGATAGAATTGCATGAGCAAAGCCGAGCAAACACATTCCTCTCCACGTCAGCCCCTTTCTCGCTCCTTTTTTCTCCGGTATTCTACCGATCTCACTCATTTCACCTGCAAGTTGACCGGCTCACCCGAAAGCACGACCAAGGCGACACGATGGACACTGGCAACATCAAGCTTCGTCCCGCATTTCTTCAGCTGGCGCTCACCTCAACTTGACCGGTCTGTAAAGGACAAGCTTGGGCTTGGAGCAGGACTGCGGGACTGCGGGACGATCGACTGACTGTCATTTGTGAATCTTTACAATCACGCTACGTTGATCGCGACACATGCATTTGCTCAACTCGTTTGGATGATCATCATCATTTTCTTCTTCTGCTTCTTCTTCTTCTTCTTGTTCGTCATCCTCATCATCATCGTTGACGCAATGTTCACTTATACAGAACGAGTTTCTCCGTGCCTTGGTTGTCATCTGCCGGCGAATTTCTTGTGTTCATCATCGATCATGCCGAGTCTGCAAGCGAAACTTTGCAGGAAACTTCAGCATGTTTGTCACCACCGAAAATGCGACTGTTGTGTGGCACACGACAGTACAGTAAATTTATCAATACAGTAAGATTACAGTATGTACTACTTTACCATCCTTGCACTCATCTCCACGTAAAGTTCAGTACATAATGCAAACTGTTCACCTTCCACGCGGGTCGGTCCGCGGCAAATCCTATTCGTCTTGTCGGAGCATTTGTTCGAAAATAATAAAAAAAAAATTGAACAATAAACAATAAAAATAAAAAAAGGGAGGAGAGAACTTTTCACTTTATTCCATCTCCACCCTGCCAATCGAGCGGTGAGTTGGTCATCGGCCAAGCTTGGTTGATCGCCCATTTTCCTGATTTTGGGGCCTCAACTCAACGCGTGGTAATGGTCGATCTCCAATTTCATCTCAGAATTTCTCGACATGCAAGATAGTCATCCAGTTTGACAGATTTGCAAACTTAAGTTTGAAAGGTACAAATTCATGATTAAACATGTACATACATTCGGAATCTACATTCTGAAGGGCAGAGCGGATGGTGTGACACTTCCAATCGCAGTGTGGGGTGGGGGGGGAAGGAGCCGTGAGGCTTGATTGCCGGATAAGGTGGACCGTATATTTGCTAGCGCAAGATAACCGAGCTGGATTTCTTTTCCTATCTGCAGATGGCAGAGCGTTTCCGAAAATCTAGCTTATCCTATCTTCGAGCGTGCTTTCGCAGTGCATAAAACTGCGGTGTTCGTTGTGCGTTCTGCGGTGAGCTGACTGTCAGGCTGCCTCGCTTCCACTTCAATCTGCGTTGGTTGAATTTTTAAAGCTCCTCATCCCACACACTCAATAAGCCTTGCATCCTACTATCCGATCAACGTGGAGAGCCCGGCCTGGCCCGTATCGCAAGTACATTCGGTGGACGTTTCGCCGTATCCGCATCCGTCCGTCCCAATTAGCAATTCCGCCACCGCCACCGCTGCCCAGGTCGGGTCGGTTCTGATCACCAGGCTAAACTCTATCTTAGATCCTTCCATTCATATCCAATTAGTCGCCGCTCGATTGATTTAGAAGGTCGCGTGTGCCAGCGAGACTGTACAGTACAGTAAGTCACAATATAGTCTTAAGCAGTCGTCGCGTACACAAAGCCACGAATTTCTTGAATTCTCCGAAATGCCATAACGCATATGAGCTCATGCACCTATATGACACTCGTTTTCGTCCCTACTCAGTAGCCACACCCGCATGATGCCCGCAGACCCTTTGAACCCTCTTTCATTCTAGACTGCTGCCACCTTCTCCGCCATTCCACGACCACGCCTCAGCATGCCTCAATGCTTCGGCCGTGCCAAGCCCTGCAACACTTCCTCACCCTTCACCTCTCAGTATTTGTGCATGTGTCGTGGTCTGTCCTGGATAGATTGCGACGAGAAAGCTCAACACCCCCTCAAACGTACTGCTGCTGACAGAGCTGACATAAGTTTCAACTTTTTCTTGAGAAAATATGCACTGAGCTCCTACAAATTTTATAGGTGTATATTTATCATATTTAAACCGCCATTGTCAAAAGGGGTTGTATGGAGTAGTGGTCAACTTAGGAGATTTTGACAAGAGTCAGGCCCCTTGACCTGCAGTCCGAATTTCTCTTGCCCCGGGTTCGAATCCCGGTACGACCTTCGCCTCGGCGATTTTTTTGCCAATTTTTTGGCCATCACGAACGCGGAATTCTGAGGGGCTTGCCCTCACCAAATTTGGAACAAGATCGATCAGGAAATGGCAGAGTAATGGCGTTTTAAGGTTTTTTGGGATGGTGGTTTTGACACCCGTCAGGAACTGCCATCTGCAAACCTCCAATCGCAATAGACACCATACCTCGCAACCCTAAGGCAACCGCTCCGAGCATCCTTCAGGCAGGCCGCCATCCCAGCATTGAACCCTTTACGACATCTACTCGCTCCGTTGCGACACCTTCGATTTTCAAAAACAACTTTGGCACAAAATGATCAATTTTCGACAGATTTCCGTCGTTTTTTCGGCAACCATCGACACTCGAGCGACGTTGGGGAGCCCTTGCACCAAGCAATGGCAAAACCAGCACCACTACAGGCCCTTTGATAGAGCCAAAACTTCGTCAGCTGGTAGCCGGCCAGCCCCTGATCGCGACAAAGCCCTTTCCAGGTCACCCCAAAACTACAGAAATCGCCCGCCCACGGCCCCGCTGCACATTCACACACATTTCCAACGCTCGAGAAGCACAGCCATGAGGCCCAAGCACCGAGGAATTCTGCCCTCCCCTCTTATGAAGACCGCCACCCCACTCGTCTCGCCGCTCCCGACTCGTCCAGTGCCTGGCAGTGCCACCCCTTTGTGTCACTGGTGGACAATCACAAGGTTGTTCCGCCCAATCTCATCTCTAGAGGGGGCTACTACACTCCTCATCTCTCGCACCATCCCATTTGACCCAACTCGATCGTCCCTGCTTTACCATACTATTCCGCATCCAAACATCCTTCGAACTGTACACTCAACCAAGCCGCACTCATGTCTTCTCAGGATGTCCGACTCTCCGGTTCCGCCGCTCTTGCAAGCCCTGTTTCCAGCGGAGCCGAAGCTGAGGCAGCAGCTGCTCTTTACATGGAGCCCGACCCTGACTCCTTTACCACCATTGTCACAGGCAAACATGTCTGGGCAGCTCGTCGCAGTGGCACATTTGGACAAGATCATCATCCCTGACTGGAGTTTCGAAGCTGGAGAGGCTGAATGGAAGCAAGTATGGGATTGGCAAGTAAAGGGAAACATACTGGCATCAGAACCGCAATCGGATGTCTATCTTTTCTTACAGCGGCGAACGTGGTTGGCCCAGAAGCCACAGCAACAATGGCGTCTGACTAGCTATGCTACGCTCGAAGACACGACCTTAGCTCCGCGTGAAGAATTCTTCAATGCTCCTCGACGTGAATCAGCCAATATTACGCAAGAGCTACCTGCAGAAGCGCCGACAGCAGACGCTTACGAAATCGAACACGTTCTCGGTGTCGCCCCATGCATGCTTTGCGCTGGACCCAAAGACTCAGCGGCACATGGCTTTGTGGAAAGCGAACAGGCGAACAAGGCGTGGAAGTCGATCATGCCGACTCTGCGGAAGATGGTGAATGGACCTTCAGTGCCCTTGGACCTCCGCAACATAGTGCTGGGTTGGCCTAATATCAAGTGCCCGGTCCGACTACGTGCTCGACTTTTGCTCTGGCGCGACACAGCTATTCATCTAATGGTCAAACGGCGAAAGGTTGCTATTACCCTAGGACTCGAGAACGACCACAACCCGAGGCTCGAATTTATCAACTTTGCGGCAGATCATGGTGCCCTTGTCTGTAAGACCATCTCTGATGCATACGATAAATGTGCAATCAGTAAGCGAACTGCTTTTGCCCAGCGATGGGTCGAGGGCGGAACCCTCCTTCGAGAGGTCGGAGGTACTCTCAACTTCCACCTCATGTCGAACAACGCATCAACTGCGCATAACACAACCACGGCCATGGCCTCAACGTCTGCATCAACTGCAACGGTTCAAATCCCCTAACAAGAGTTCCCTTGACCGATTTCCGACTGACTCGTAACAATGCTCCAGTTCTCAAGTTGCTTACCCTCTTACTAACCAAACTAAATTCATTTGGCTCATGTTCCGTTCCTGATCATCCCTTCTGCCCTGATCTCGCCTGCACGCTCTCTCCCCCCAGATTCCCTTCTCTTTTCCCATCCTCGACCTTTGGTCTGCTGCTGGATCAGTGGAGTACGAAAGGCATTGTTTTCGGCTCTCTCGCTCACTTGACCGGGAAGTCATCCCTTCGGGGACTCAATGCTAGACGGCTTCGCAGATATAGTAGTTCGACGCTGGCCGAGGAATTTTGGTTTCGTTGTAGTTTTTGTTTCTTCTCTCAAATGCTCGTAGTAAAATAAGGCCAAAAAGGCCTGCTATAAAAATTTAAAAAAAAAAAAGACATCACTCACGTTCTTTTTGCGATTTTTTGACAGAATTCAAAACGCGGAATGATGAGGGTTTTTCCCTCATCAAATTTGGAGCAAGATCGATCAGTAAATGACAGAGTAATGGCAAATTCAGGGTTTTGAGATGATGGTTTTTGACACCCGTCAGGAACTGCCACCTAAGACGTCCTGAAAGCATTAAACTCTCGCCTTTTTTTCACAAAACAGCATCGACCAGACAATCTTCTGCGCACCCCAACATGACAATGACAACACCTCAACGACGTCTACTCGACAAGTAACGCACAATTCGACCTTTCAACATACAACTGGACATCTTTACCGTTTCTCGACGGATTTCGGCCTTTTTTTTCGGCATCATTCAACTATAAAGCAAAGTTGGGAAGCCCCTGCATCAAGCAAAGGCAAGACCAACACCCTCACTGGACGTTTGATGTTGCCATCAGAGGCTCGCCTGACGCCCAAGCGCCGCCTGATTGCGAACAAGCCTCATTACCTGCCTTTGCGGCCCAGCCACACGCAGCTCCCAAAGCCCCCCGACTCAGCCAAAGGGCCCAAGCGCACTGGTTTTCTGCCGTCGGCTAATGCTTACCGCTTTCTGATCACGCCGCTCATCGTCACGCCCCCGACAGCGCCATCTCGTTGGCCCAGCCTTGCCTCGCACAGCCATGGTTGTCGAAATCTCACTTTTCCGATAGATGAGGAGCCTCGCTACCTTGCAAAGACCATCGCCGTCTTCCTTATGCGCTATTGCCGCATTCATGACATCTGGGCTGAAATGCATTCCCTCCCCGGCAGTGAAATCCGCGTTCCAGCAAACAAGCTGGTGGTTCTTATCTACACTGCTGGCACCAACCCGAACGAAGGACGTGACACTGCCAGATTCGGAAGCAGCAATGGGTCAGCAGATTCGTGTGCTCCGTATCTGGAGCATCCACGTCCCACCGACTGACAACGAACGCAGAGACTTCTGGAACTCGGATGATCCAGAGCTCTCTCATATCGACTCTTCAGTAAGGGACGAAAATACGGGCGTCATGGTCGGAGCAGACTGGAATACGATCCATGCTCCAACGCTGGACAATCCCATTCTGAGACCTGGCTTTGCCCAAATCTGAACGCGCAAAGATGGAACTCTGCGCCATTTCCTTGGTTGAAACAGCTGCCATCGACAGTGGCCGCTGCGATCCGTGCGAACTGCAAGCAATTCCGGGGTATTTCAAGCTTGGAAACCGCGAATGCAAGATGAACCACGAAGAAAGAGAGGCTCAAATGGTGTGCCATCTGCCGCAGCAGCGCTACCAATTTCCATACACACACAAGAAAAATTCCCGTGCTTGGTTGAGTGTAAATCAACTTGTCGGATGAGTTGATTTGGGTATCGCAAGAGCCGAATACGAGTACAATGAGTGGCTACAATTAAATTAAGACATTGATGTGCGCTTTCGCTGTGAATTTGTGTGTTGACGTCGTGATTCGAATGATTTGTACCTTGGCAAGGGTTCGATCGCTTCAGCAGGAGGAGAGCAGCTGGGCGTAGCACCTTGAGTTTTCTTTTCGACCTCGAGCAAACTTTCGAGCGTAAAAGTGCAGATGCAAGGGAAAGCAGAAGGATCGGTTTGTTTATCATGTAGCGCCTCCAACTCTGCCTTTCTTTCCTCTATGCATGATGCAGGCATAGGGTCTTCGCATGCGTACGATGGAAGGTTGAGCGAGTCTGGTCGACAACCGCACGAGTTGAGGAAGATAGGTATGGATACGTGAAATCGCTTCATCATTTGGTTGTCGATGTAGATCAACTCTTGTTCGCTTTTCGCTTTCGAGTCTGAAGATCGGTATTCTCCGTCGATGAAGTCAATTTCGTACGTGATGAAATTTGTGAAACGTATTGCGGCGTCATTGCCTTCAACTGTACTTGGTCGAACTTCGTTGTCATTCGGGATACGTGACACGACTTGGAGTGATGGGTAGCACTCGCCGTCCGGACTGATGCCTTCTCCGCCACCCTCCAACTTTTTCGTCTTGAACAGCTCATCAACTTGGTGCCTATCGAGTTTGAGAAACTGCACCTTTTTGGGTAGGACCGTCTCAGCGTACCCTTTCCTCTCTTTCCTCGACGTCAACCTTGTCCGCTGCTCCACGAATCCTCGAATGCCAACGACGCTCACCCCCTCGAGTGGACTCAATAAGTCAAAGTTTGTCCTAAGGTATCCTCCTACCGTAAACACCTCTGATCTGTTCCTCAAGCTAAAAGGGCCGATACCGTCGGCATGAGTTCGAACGTCCTTGTCCCAAACAATCATCTCATTGCCCTCGTCGTTCTGGCAATCCACAAAGTACACTTTCTTGGTGGCTGTTAAGGTTTTGGTGAGCAATCCGTGGAATGTTGCCTTTGCTACAAGCTGTTGATTGTTGATTCCCCAGTTGCTACGTTGGAAGGGTGCTGCGTTGTGGTCGATAAAGAAGGATTGTTCGAAACGGTAAGTCTTGCCCGGTTCAAAGTACTCAATGTCGAGCGCTTCCGTGAGCGACTTTTCGCTGTGGAAGGTTCGGTTTGCTTCCATGCCTCCACGGGGGAACGAGATATTTTCGTGGGAAGTCAGTGTGAGCGTGAGACTCTTGAGGCGATTACGGATGCAGGAAGGGGTACAGGAGGAAGAGGAATTGGGAA